CAATATTCAGGACATAGACGTGGATGTGATGGCTATTGTCAACGACACAACCGGCACATTGATGTCGTGTGCGTTAAAGAACAGGGAGTGTAGGGTCGGCCTTATTATCGGTAATTATAAAACCAATGAATGAACCCAAATAATTAGTGAATACAGAATACCTAGTATTCCATAGATTATGGCATTAAATAAATGCAAACAAAACCATTTCCCATATTAGGCACGGGAGCCAATGCTTGCTATATGGAGACACTGGAGAACGTGGAGATGTTTAGCGATGACTTCCCTGATGTGAATCAAGTGGTGGTTAATACAGAATTGGGTGCTTTCGGTGACAATCGGATCCTTAACTTCATTCGCACGAAATGGGACGATGAGGTCGACAGCATTTCCCTCAATAGAGGCAAACAATTGTATGACATTTGCTATCAATTCTATAATCTATTCCTAATTTGTGTAATCATATTAATTATTCGTAATGTCATTATCATTATCATTATTTATAACACGTGTGTTACCATGTACCCTATGAATTGAGATTTTGTGTTAATTCTCGGAAGTTTGTTTAATCATTTAATTTTTAGATTTTTATGTTATTATCAAATCAATAATTCATGTTTATTATAAACAACCTTAATCTTATATCAATATATTGATATTTAAATTAAATGTTAGCATTAATTTTTACATTAATTTTTACATAAATTTAATTTATGCCAGGTTTGAAAAGATGATATCAGGCATGTACCTGGGTGAAACTGTTCGCTGCGTTTTGGTAGATCTGTGCAAAAGGGGATTCATATTCGAGGGCGAGGGATCAAATAAATTATTCACTTCAAAGGCATTTCAAACGGCATACATATCTGCCATAGAATCGGACAAAGAAAACGAATACCTATTCACTCGGCAAGTGATGTCTGCCATGGACTTGAGGGATGCCTCCCTCGATGACTGTGATGTGGTTAAACTGGTCAGTCATATAACCAATTAAAGTGTAATCAATTAAATTACAAAACTTATGCTCCAAATAAAAGGTGTGCAAAAGGGTGTCCACTCGTGCGGCACATCTGGTGTCGGCAGCCGTGGCGACCATATTGAACAAAATGAAGAGACCGCACACCACAGTGGGAGTGGACGGATCGGTATACAA